TAGAAATTGGTTTCAAACATTGTGAACATTGTGGTGCGAATTTTTTATCATAGCATGCAGCACAACAAGGTTTTGAATTGTGTTTATTCAATGTTGTCTCATAGGTCAATAATTTCTGACATTGACTACAACGAAAGCAATCGTCATGATAAACATTTGTATCGAAAGTTATTAATCCACCAATAAGTATAGGTTTTTGACAAGCATAACATATTTTAGCATTTGCTTGTTTACATTGTGCACATATTGGTTCATTATTATGAATTGTAAAATTACTATTTGTCGAATCACTCAGATTCTTATGACAAATACCACAAGTAAAGCAGTTAGTATGATATAAACGATTGTTAAATCGAATATTTGATTGATGATTTTGATCGATCGAACTTGTACATTTTGAACAATAAGAAACAGGTTGATTAACAAAAAGCTACAAAATAAAATATATTCGCATTTTCACAGTGTTGAAAAGAGAAATTTCGATCTCAACAAGTATTCTATACTTCTTATCTTTTCCAAGAAAATATCGAAATTTTCGTGATTAAACATGAAAATAGAATCAGTCAAGACTGAAATTTTGAGCATTTACTATTTGAGTATTCAAATTCGACTCTTAAAAACTGAATAATAACTCATGTCGATGCCGTTTCTTACCTCAGAGTTACCAATCGATTGTTGTTTAGCAGCCATCGTCCGAATACTTGTGTTCGACTTTTCAAAACAAAAGAATGCCAAAGTATTTTCAAACGTTCACGAAAGTTATGTTTCGTCCGTCTAAATATATGATACGTTTTATGTATGTCTCCTCTATATTACTATCTGTATTAGTATATGTTTGAATATAAGTTTTGCAGAAATGTGAAATCAGTATGTATGACAATTGATTGTTGAAAGGTATTACTAACTAGACTTCCACTCGAGCGAAGCTCGAGTAGATAAGGCGGCTGACTGCACGAGCCCCAAAAATATTAAAACAGGAGTGTATATGACATCTTCTATTTCAAGATCGTAGCCGTTCCTAGTGAAAATCATAATGAATTTAAGTCGAGTTCAGCTGTGTCCACTCAGCTGATAAGTGAGAGATAATGAATGTCATCAGCTATCACCATATAAGGAAACACTCAGCTGTTCATTATCGTATTGCTCATTTTATCTATATAAGCCATGGTCAGATTTTCTTGATTGCTCGAGACTCTTTCTTGGATAAATTTAAGTCACAATAGACGATAATTAAATTGTATATGCATTTAACATCTGAGATATCAATGGTCGCTTCAGGTTGAATAATACATCACCATATAAGGAAAATGTCAGCTGTTAATTATCGTTTTACATATATTTATTATCTCCCGAACCGAGTGGAATTTTGAAAAACGGATTTCAGATGTGCACTCGTCACGCTCTCACGATCTCAGCAAACTTTTTTCCAGTTCAAAAAGATGTTCAAGTACTGAGAACGAGTGGCTGACTTGATTCGTGACTCATGTGTTGAGAAGAAGAAGAAGAAGAAGAAGAATTTGCCATGGCAACTAAGCGAGTGAAAAGCAATAAGTCGGCTACTGCACTTCGTGCAGTCAGCCGCCTTAATAATTATTTCGATCAGAAGAATGAATTGAACATTTTACTAATGTCTTTTTATTGTAAAATATCAAATTTCAGAAGTGAAACTGGCATTTCAGTCTTAGTTCTCGATTGATCGTCAGTCTTCTTTAGAAAGAAATGGAAGTACGAAATAGAAATTGCTCGATTCGACTGTGGATTCCATGAAGTACATTTCTTTTCGATCATATACAATAATCCTCAATGCTCGTCTCATGTGTACAGTAGTTATCTACAATAATCGTCTACCATAATATGTCAATGTGTATTGTTGTGGACGATCGTTGTGTGTGCATCTCAAAACCGATGACATATGTTTTTCTGTACTAACTGATAAATTCAGCTCATTACTAGTGTTTTTCTTTTGGTTCTGGTCTTGCTACTATATAGGGATATGGTTAGTAGTACCATTCATTTATGATTTAGTTCCCAAATCTTCATAGGACGGGATATATTGTTTAATGGAGACAGTAGTTATCCTTGTCCTTGTGCATTGAATTACACTTTTATGTTATTTACCTTCGTTCGTGTTGTATCTTGTGTTGATAGTTGAAATTTGCCATGCATGTGTGATTTACTGTG